ATCCACTGCGCCACCTACCTGCCCCAAGTGCTTTTAAAATCTTTTAAAATCTATAACCCCATATAATCTTTGGATCTTGGGCAAATCACTTCACTTATCTGACCCTTAGTTTCCTCATCTATAAAACGAGGAGGTTGGATTAGGTGATCTCTAATATCTGGGTTACAAATACACATAAATTACTGTACAGCCCTACAATTTAATTGTGAGCTAACAATCTGCCACTTAATGTGCAATAGATGCATAGAAAAAAAAACCAACTCTGAATTTAAAGAGATTTTTGTGTCTTTCCTCTGTGGTCACTCCCTCTTTTGTTTAAATAAATTTAAATAAATTTTTTTAAGAACCCCAATTTTTTTTTCTTACCTTCTCAATGAGAGAAGAGTTGAGGAATAGAGAGAATTCAGAAATGAAGAAAAAAAAACTCTGTACTTTGAAAAATAGATTTAAAAATTAAAAAAACACAAAGAAAACAAAAAAATCATTTAATTCATCCTCTCATTTTACAGATGGGGAAACTGAACTAGAGAGAGAAAGTAACTTGTTCATGGTGACACCATTGTTTCCTGATTATTTGTCATCTCAAAGTTTCTTTTGCTCCTATAGCTGCACCATAGGAATGTATAATACTTTGAAAGGACATCAGATCAGAATGGAGTGGGGGTTTATAGGCTGATAGGCTATAGTAAAAAGACTGAAGGGAGTTACTTCTAGGATGTTTTCATGCTTGGCATATCCTTTTTATTCATCCTTTCCCCCATCCTCATAACTCAGCCCACTTTCTTGCAGTTTGAGAGAGTGCTAAACTTAGGTAGTCAGTAATTATTACACTTTTTATATTATATATATAAGGTGTGTGTGTAAATAAAAGGAAGCCTTATAAAGTTTTTTTTCTTTTATTTCAGCTCAATATTTACTATAATCACTGAATAGCCTGATAAGACCAAATACATCTGTAGTCTCTGAGTTAATACAAGACATACATTTGTGTACAATTCTGTAACTTTGTAAATAACTTGTGACCAGAATGTAAAACTGAGATCCTAACTAGTTTTATGTTCCTAGAACCTATTGGTGTTGAAATGAATAATGTTTCTAAACTACATGAGGTGGAAAAGTACTTTTAAAAATACAAATCTATCATTGTTCTGAAGAAGAAAATCTTTATCTTAATCTAAACTACACAATATAAGGAACTGGATCACAAATCAGGAAACCCAGGTTTTGATCTAATTTCTGGAGATGACTGTGTTGCATTGGCGAAGTTACTTTCTCACTTTAGATCAATTTCCACATCTGTAAAATGAGAGAATTGGATTAGATGATTTCACACATACCTCCTTTTTTATTTTAAAATTTTTTTTTAAAACACAGATTTTTTTTTTAGTTCCAAATTCTCTTTCTCTCTCTACCCTATGTCTCACCCATTATGAAGGCAAGAAAAATAAAACCCATTACAAATATGTATAGTCATAAAAAGCAAATTTTTGCATTAGCCATTTTTTTTAAAAAGAAAGAAAGAAAAAATATTCTTCAATCTGCACTCTGAATTCATCAGTTCCCTATCTGGACGTGGATAGCATGTTTCATCATGAGTCTTTTGGAATTGTGATGGGGTCGTTAATTGATTATCTTTATAATATTCCTATTTCTTTGTAGATTGTTCTCCTGGTTCTGTTCACTTCACTATATATTAGTATTAGATGATTTTTAAAAACCTTTTTGACTTTTCCATTTTATTAATTCTCCATTTTCAAAAGATTCTTTTTCTTTTTTCTTTTTTTTTTTTGAAAGATGATGTCAAGGCTTTTTTTTTTTGATCATGGCTTTCGGGTAGTCCAATAATTTTTAAATTCTCTCTCCTGGATCTATTTTCCAGGTCAGTTGTTTTTCCAGTGAGATATTTCACATTGTTTTCTAATTTTTCATTCTTTTCGATTTGTTTTACAGTGTCTTGATTTCTCATAAAGTCACTAACTTCCAATTGCTCTATTCTAATTTTTAAGGAAGTATTTTCTTCAGTAATTTGTCCAATTTTGCTCTTTAGGGCATTCTTTTCTTCATTGGCTTTTTGGACCTCTTTTGCCATTTGGGTTAGGCTATTTTTTAAGGTGTTATTTTCTTCAGTATTTTTTTGGGTCTCCTTTAGCAAGCTGTTAACTTGCTTTTCATGATTTTCTTGCATCACTCTCATTTCTCATCCCAGTTTTTCCTCTACTTCTCTTACTTGCTTCTCAAAATCCCTTTTGAGCTCTTCCAAGGCTTGCGACTGATTCATATTTTTCTTGGAAGTTTTGGATGTAGGAGCTTTGACTTTGTTTTCTTCTTCTGGTTGTATGTTTTGATCTTCTTTGTCACCAAAGTAAGATAATATAGCCTGACTCTTTGCGCTGCTTGCTCATGATCCCAACCAATTACTTGAATTTTAAACTCTTTGTTAAGGTAAGAGTCTGTTTCCAATGTGGAGAATGTACTGTCCCAAGCTTTGGGGGTTTTTACAGCTGTTTTCAGAGATACTGCTAGGGACCTGAAAAGTGTCAGTTATTCCAAGGTGCTATGATAAGGGGCGAGGTGTTTCTTCTCCATCACCACAACAAGCTCCACCACGCCAGGCCCCAGGACTGCCCCTCAGAACTGTGAACCAGATCCAAGCACAGGCAAAGCAAGAGATTCCTGCCTCAGCACTGGCAAAGAGATCCTTGCAGTCCCCCTCTGATCAGCCACTTGATTCCCCCTCAGTCTGTGGGCGGGAAGCTCAGAAGCCAGCTGCTGCCCTTGGGGCAGCTGAGATCTAGCTTCTTTTCTCAATGCAGTAACAGACTTTTCCCACTGATCTTGTAAGTTGTCTTTGGTGTTCGTGGGTTGAGAAGTCTGGAAACCGCCACAGCTGCCCGCAATTTAGTTCTCTGAGGTCTGCTCCAGGGTTGCTGTGCCCACGCCAAACTGCGCTCCTCCCCCAGCCTGGCATGATATACCTTTCCGATCAGCCATCCAGGTTATCTTGGGCTGGAAATTTGTTTTACTCTGGTTTTTTTTGTGGGTTCTGCTGCTTTAGAATTTGTTTAGAGCCATTTTTTGTAGGTATTTGGAGGGGTTTGGGGGAGAGCTCTAGCAAGTCACTGCTTTCCCTCTGCCATCTTGGCTTCGCCCCCCTCAAAAGATTCTTAAGACTATTTACTTGCTTCATATATAAAGATTGTCTATGATTGTCAAAATAAAAAATGAATATAGACTTTTGAGACATATTGTGGAACAAGATTTTCAGAAAATGTGAGTTTATCTAGGATCAAGATACCTTTTTTTTTTTTCTCCTTTTTGCCATGCAGTGGGGTAAGTGACTTGCCCAGGGTCACACAGCTAGTACGTGTCACGTGTCTGAGGCCAAATTTGATCTCAGGTCCTCCTGACTCCAAGACTGGAGCTCTATCCACTGCGCCACCTAGCTGCTCTGAAGATACATTTTCTTGTTAGTTGTAATGAGAGCCACATCATAGGCATAATGTTTAAACCTGTTATATAATGAGTTTATACCACTCATGATCTCTGAATAACAGAGTTGCTGTAACTTGTAAAACTTCAAAAGTTTTATTTTCCCCCTCTAGAAATGTGTTTTATCATTTATTTAAGAATCTTTAGCCATTTTTTCCCCCCAAGTCCTAGGAATTCAGTGTATTTCAGCAACTATATGAGTGTCTGTTACATCTAAGATACAATGTTAGATACTGTGGAATACAAAGAAGAATAAGTAAGCCACAGTTCCTACCTTCATAGAATTAATTTTTTCCAGATTCTATATTATAACACTCCTGGCCTCTTCCTTCTAGCTTTGCTTCTCTGTTCAAAAGAGGAGTTTATTATCTTTTCGTTCAGAGTAAAACCATACATTTTAGAGGTCAGTTTATTATTTTTGTATAAAATGTTCAGATATATAATACATATCTGCTTAAAGGGATTTTTCATTATAAACTTGTCAACAAAAGCCAACGTAAAAAAAAATTTTAGTAAAAAATCTTTCAGTAAAATCTTTCCTAAGCTCCTTAACTTTTAATAGGGCAAAACAAAAATAATAAACAGACAGCAAGTAAGCAGATATTTTTGTTCTGCCGCATTTGACCCTGCTCTTTCTTTCTTTGTTCTATTACTTCTTTCCTTATTTTTCCTTTCTTTTTATTTCTTCTTTCCTTTACAAAAAAGTTCTCAATTTTTATCATGTATTACTGATTTCATTTTATATCACCTCATGTGGGTTTTCCAATGTTTACTTGTTTATTTTATGTTTATCATTCAAGTATCATAATACTCCATTATAATAATATGGTATGATATATTTAGTCATTCTCCAACTTTTGGGTTTTAGATTACCTCTAATTTTGTATTAACACAAAGCAGTTACTAACATTTCTGCATATATAGATCCTTTTTTCTTCCATATGGTGTTTCTGGTAAAGAGTCCTAGTAGTGAGCTTCCTACAGTGGAAAGAGTACAGGCTCTGGAGCCAGAAGACCTAGGTTTGAATCCTATCTCTAAATCTTCCTACCTGTGTGGCTTTGGACCAATCATTTTAATCTCTGTGGGCCTCAGTTTCTTTATCTTTAAGTTGAAGAGGTTAAATTAGTTGACCTCTGAAGTCTCTTCACACTCTACATCTATGATCCTGTCATCTGTCATCAGTTTTATGACTTATATGTGTAAGCATGTTACTCTTCTAAATATTTGCACTAATCTGAAGTCCTATCAATGATGTATTCCTGTTTTCCCACAGCCCTGCCAACATTGGACTTGACCATTTTTTTATATTTTTGGTGTAATAGTTGTAAGGTAGTATAATGTTTCTTGACTTACACTTTTTAAATAATTAGACTTAGAGCATTTGAAATCTTTTCTTGTGGTTAGGGACAGTTTATATTTCCTTTTTTGTATCTTTTCTATTTATGTCATGCATAGCTTTTTAAATGAAAGTATTTTGGTTATGTTATAGTTTTCATTTTTGTAATTACAGGTGAAGGATTTGACTAAATATCTGGATCCCAGTGGACTTGGTATCATCAGTTTTGAAGATTTTTATCGAGGGATTACAGCTATCAGCAATGGAGGTTAGTTTTAAAACTATATTTCTAATTATCTTATCTCCTGTAACATCTTCTGCTTCTATCACATTCCTCCATCTTTGAGGAACCATGTCTAAAGTCTCTTCTGTGGCTAAATCTCACCTGCATCCCTCCAGTCTTTCTAAGCCTTCCTTTCACACTAGCCTCAGTACCCTTCTTAACCACTTTTAATACTGTAGCCACTGCCAATTCATCCATACCCTTTTTGCAATACTTTGTCACCTTTCCATCTCTCTGAAGCCTCTGAAATACCCCAGACCTCTAGTTACCTTTGGTTTCATCCCTTATTCCTTTGCTCCTAGTCTTCTACTCTGGGCCTGCTTTCTGGTGTGGGCATCCACTCGCCAATTTTCTCCCTCCGATTTTGTAATCTTTCATTTATTCGGAAAGCCACCATTATGCTTGATGGTCATGTTCTGAAGATTTGAGTCAACCTGTTAATTATTTTCTTGTACCTATTAACCTGATAAGGCAGGGAATTGTTAAAGTATAAAAACATTGAACGAGATAGATTTTCCTCTTTCGTGTACACTTGTATCACTTTGCTTAATTTTAATAGTTTATGTTGATATTTACAATCAGCTTAGCTGATAAGTTCAAGAATTGGACTTGGGCCTGGAAGATGTGAGTTTGAATTCTTCGTTACTAGCTATATGAGCATACACAAATCAATTTACTCCAACCAAATGATTAAACAAATAGCAGCAAAGTCAGAGGGATGGCATGCCTTCGGGTTAGAGTCTAGATCTAGACCAACTTGAAAAAAAAGTCAGGATTTAACTTCCTTGTCTTTAAAGTGGGAATAATAATAATACTCACTGCCTAATTCATAGAATGACTATGTTGAAAGTAATTTGTGAACCTTAAAGCATTATAGAAATTTGAATTGGTTCTGATTGTAAGAGTGCTTCCTGTACCCTGCAAGCATTGAGGGCAGCATCCTAGTTGATAAAAATAGACCCCATTCAGGAACGTATCTATAGTGGCTCATAGTGATCAGAGTATTTAAGAAATTTGTCCTTTTTTTGGAAAATCCTAGTGGTAGGAGGGGGCTCCAAACAGCTTCCTGCTGGGAGCAGTATGCTTTTGAAAACTTCACCTCCGTTTTTGGTCAGCCTCGGTAAGCTTGCTATAATGGAAGGGGTGCTGGATTTGGAGTCAGAGGATTCACGTTAGAGGCTCAGCCCTGTTTATTGCCGTGTGACTTTGGGCATCCCACTTGCCCTGTTTGGTCCTCAGGTTCTTTATCTGTAAATGAGGTGGTTGGGCTAGGTAGCCTCAAAACTCCCTTCAGGTCTAGAACTGGGATCCCAAGATTGAAGAGGGTGCAGAAATGAGGGGGCCCCAGGTCCCTTGAAGAGGAAAAACAAATCTAATTTTAGATTGGCAGGTTATTTTTCTCTGTGGAAAGGTGATTGCTGTCTCCTTAACGCCAGGTCAGCCTTATGAAGACTGAAGCATGATTTATTTATTTTTATAGAGTAAACTAATAAAAGATCTGGTTTAGAAGACTTCATTTCTCAATGATGTTTTACTTAACTAGAGAGAAAATGTTTTGCAATAGGTTATAAAAGTATTTTCAAGGGGCAGCTAGGTGGCTCGGCGGATAGAGCACCGGCCCTGAAGTCAGGAGGACCTGAGTTCAAATCTGGCCTCAGACCAAACGCTTGACACTTACTAGCTGTGTGACCCTGGGCAAGTCACTTAACCCCAATTGCCTAAAAATTAAAACAAAAAAAAAGTATTTTCAGAATTTGTGTTATGATCCTCAGGAGTAGAAGAGGAACCATAAAGTCTCTTCTTAATAAAGGTGTTCTTTAGATAAAATAATCTTAGTGATTTTGATGGCAAACCCTTAGCTATCAAGTTAGAAGAATTGAATGAGCCTTTGGGTGAGGGTTTGGATTGGAAAACTTGGAAAAACTTGGAAAAAAGTCAGATATTAATGAACCCCAGAAAATCTCATATACAGGAGCATCCCAATTCTAAAAATGCCAATACGAACTCAGAATTGTACATGATTTTAATTTTTTCCCATTTACTAGTATTTTATGTTTTCCAATTACATGTAAAGGTTGTACATTATTTTTAGAGGAAGACTAATCATGAAAATATTGAAGTATAATGTAATTCCTAGCCCTCAAAATGTTTTTCAGCTGGAATGGACTGATTTAAAAAAAATACCTATGATCTTTATGGAAAAAATGAAAAACTACTTAGTCTTAATAAAATTGACTGTAGGGTAGGGAAAGGAGGGGAAAATTAATGCCACTAAATAGGGAGGTCATTGATAGAGTTCCTTTCATCTGAGGACAATAAAGTACTTCGAAAACTAGCGTTTTTAGCATACAGGGGACAGATGGTGTTTACAATATGTTATTGCAACAAACAAAAATGATTCATTTTACATTGAACTTTAAATCAATTTCATGAATAAAAGGCAAAAGATTTTTTAAAAAATCTTGGATTACTATAGCAACTTATAGAAAAACAAAAATAAACCTTGAAACTCGTAGGGTTTTTTGTGTTTTTTTTTGATACTAATAGTGCTAGGAAACAAAATGACTCTGAATATGTTACCACTAAACTTGGCCCTGACAGGGCTAATCCAGTCATTTTAACAGTCTTTATTAGTTTATTAGTTTCTAATGTATATAACCTTGTATATGACCTAAGCAATCAGATTGATTATACCACAAAAATGTGTTACATATAGACTTTTTCTGTTTTTTGTAGGGTAGGAGCTAACTACTTTACTTCTAGCAGAGTGGTTATAGGAAGGTTAGATATACTTAACATAAGAGATTATGTCCAGAAAACAGATGTTTAAAGAGAATTGAGTTAAAAATGTAATCAGTGCAGGTTGCCAACCATTAAATCAGTGTCATTGAAAAATAGTCATATTTTCAAGGTTCTCAGAGAAGGAAATTATAGACTGGCAGATTACAATATAGATTTGAGGGGAGGTAAAATGTTACAAATTATTTTAAAGGAGAGTGAGTACTTAAGTAAGTACTAGTTTTATGTTGAATCAGAATGTTCTGGCATGAGAGGTCAGTAGCAATTGCGTCTGTTATTTCATCCAGAGTCATGTGATCCTGAGTCTGGCTCCTAGTATTTTAACTTATGTTAATAAGAATCATGTTACTAAGGAGATAATTGGGAGGTAAATTAAAAAGGAAATAGCAAAAGCTATAAATGTAGAGGACCTTTCTTATAATAGTCCTTTTTTCCTTTTGTTTCTTTCTTTCTTTTTTGAAGCAAAAGTAGTACAGAGATTGAATGAAGACAAGAAAGACCCAGGGTAGCTTGAAAGAATCAAAACTATTGAACAAACTTAATCTATGTAGTAACTATTAAGTTAAAGTAATAATTTGGTGTGTTTTTAATAAAAAGGGTATGGAACATAGTGTCCATACTCTATTTCTTATTAGCCATAGGAGCTTGAACAGGTTATTAAAAAGAGAAGGAGAGGTGCTTCAGTGATGGCTGCCTTGGAAAGGTAGGCTGCATTCAAATTATGAAGGGCTTTGAATGTCAAACATAGAGGCCTGTATTTTATCCTGGAGACGATAACAGAACCACTGGAACTTTTTGAATAGGAGAGAGTAACATAGACCTGTGCTTCCTGAAGTGTCCCAGGTGGCTGCCTACCTTGCCTATCCCAGTCCCTACTCTGTTTATTTTTTAGAGGAGTTTTGAGGATGACTTTAAAATCTATTGAATTCTGATAGTATTATTCAAATTTATTCTTATCAGATGTGGTCTAATTGAACTCAGGCTCTTCTGATTGAATATCAAATATAAAGCCATATTTGCAACCCATCGAGAATGTTTATGAACATTTTGCCAGTGAAATTACATGAGAGGAGGGTGGTATAGTGGAAGGAATGAAGACTTGAAAGAAGACTTTAAATCTCAGGACAGAGCCCAATCCTAAATTATCTTCATCAAACCAGTGGCATAAGGTTATTGACTCATGATGATACCTTCTGTGTTGTGGAGTAGATTTACTCTGATGCCAATGAGTGTAGGCAGTTAATATAGTGCCAGTGAGCATAGTGTAGGTGAATGGAATGGTAGTGGGAGAATGCTGTAACTAGAGAGGAGATGAAGCAGAGAATTCCTGTCTTGTACGTGCCTATTTCCAACAATGTTCTGACATGATTTATAGAAAAGTAGAAAGCAGTTGCCATACTACTTGTTGTCTTTTAATTTCATCTATTAAATAATTAGTGACAAAAGGGCAGTCAACATAAGGGGGAAAATGAAAATGAATTGTGCATTTCCTCCTGAATAATTTTTCTGTTGTCCTATCTATCCTTCCTATTTGTGTCTTGCAGTTCTGTATGATGTGATATGCACAGAGATTTGAAAGCTGAAAATTGTTGATTGAGGTTTTTTTTGCTATGGGCACAACCTGCCTAAAGCTGTTAAGTGGATCCATAAAAAAATGACTTTAGGAGAAATGATGCTCATGAGCCAGATAGTTCCATAGGAACAGAGATGATTGGAGGAACTCTAGAGCTAACTTTGATGAAAAGTAGGGGCTAGGAGGCGTGGTGGGTAGAGTATTGGCCCTGAGTCGGGAGGACCTGAATTCAAATGTGGCCTTAGACGCTTACTAGCTTTGTGACCCTGGGTATCAGAACGGCCTGAGTGAAAGCCCAATAGCTTTAGAGGGATGGTTATGTTTCTTAATGTTGATTAGAGCAGAATTATATAGAGTATGCCTGTATTTCATTTAATTTGATACAAATATTTAAAAACAAAGCCAAGTAAAAATAAACCACTTTTTTTTCCCTTTTGCTTTTCCTGTAAGATTTTTGTTTTGCCTCTTTAATTTTGTTACAAATTCAATGTTGTACCTTTTTCCCTTCAAAGCTATAAGGTAAAAATAAATCAGAATTATATGAACAAAATTAGAAAAAAAAAACCAAACCAGAATGTACACGTAGAGTTGATGTCATTGGTACACAAAATTT